ACAAAAACCTTACCACAAGCATCCTCGACCCATCACCGCGGCATTTGCCAAGACAAGAACCTTACCACATGCATCCGCGAACCATCATTCCTTTCACAAGAAAGAAAACTCAATCCAACAAGTATCTGCGATCCATCACCACGGCATTTGCCAAGACAAAAACCTTACCACATGCATCCGCGAACCATCATTCCTTTCACACGAAAGATAACTGAATCTAACAAGTATCCGCGATCCATCACCACGGCATTTGCCAAGACAAAAACCTTACCAGAGGCATCCGCGAACTATCACCCCTCGCACAAGCAAGATAGCTGAATCCAACAAGTTTTCGGTTCAAGAGGGCAGAGGCAGGGCAGGGCAGGCACTTGCCAAGACAAAAACCTTACCGCATGCATCCGCGAGCCATCATTCCTTTCACAAGAAAGGTAGCTGAATCTAACAAGTATCCGCGATCCATCACCACGGCATTTGCCAAGACAAAAACCTTACCAGAGGCATCCGCGAGCTATCACCCCTCTCACAAGAAAGATAACTGAATCCAACAAGTTTTCGGTTCAGGAGGGCAGAGGCAGGGCAGGGCAGGCACTTGCCAACACAAAAACCTTACCACAAGCATCCTTGACCCATCACCGCGGCATTTGCCAAGACAAAAACCTTACCACATGCATCCGCGAACCATCATTCCTTTCACAAGAAAGATAACTGAATCTAACAAGTATCCGCCATCCATCACCACGGCATTTGCCAAGACAACAACCTTACCAGAGGCATCCGCGAACTATCACTGATCTCACAAGAACGACAACTGAACCCAACAAGTTTTCGGTTCAAGAGGGCAGAGGCAGGCAGGGCAGGCACTTGCCAAGACAAAAACCTTACCACAAGCATCCTCGACCCATCACCGCGGCATTTGCCAAGACAAAAACCTTACCACATGCATCCGCGAACCATCATTCCTTTCACAAGAAAGGTAACTGAATCTAACAAGTATCCGCGATCCATCACCACGGCATTCGCCAAGACAAAAGCCTTACCAGAGGCATCTGCGAACTATCACCCCTCTCACAAGAAAGATAACTGAATCCAACAAGATTTCGGTTCAAGAGGGCAGAGGCAGGGCAGGGCAGGCACTTGCCAAAACAAAAACCTTACCACAAGCATCCTTGACCCATCACCGCGGCATTTGCCAAGACAAAAACCTTACCACATGCATCCGCGAACCATCATTCCTTTCTCACAAGAAAGATAACTGAATCTAACAAGTAGTTCAACCACGCTTTGTTTTGTAAGACAGAGAGTTGAAGTCAACCAGTCCAACTCCACTCCTTTTGCAAGACCTTGGGATGTGCAAGATTGCAAAAGTACTTTTTGCAGCAACTGCAAAAACCATCCCCTCAATCATTCACGGCCTGAGTTGACTACAAAGGGTATCCAAACGCTTTGCTTCTTCGGTGGGTCTGATATTCTTTCTTGACGTGTTCTGGATCCAACTTCGTGCAGTAAGCTCATACTTGATAGCTACCGTTGCTATCGTCAGGCGATGGCGTGACCGCAGCTTTCAGCTGTTATTGGCCTTGGGATGTGTAGGATGGCAAAGGCAAAAGTACGTTGAAACAACTCAAAACGAAAAAGACATTCAACACTAATTTCTTTGGGCTCTTGCGTTTTTAGAACAAGAAACCTCCTTTCCCATTCGGTTTTTTTTTATTGCTACAATTTGGATTAAAAGTCACTGTGACAAGTAGCCGACAGTTGTCTACTAATGGCTTCAGTTGTACTGTTCTTGGAAGATGTATTCAAGATGTCTGTTGTGTAGTTTCTGTCTGAACTATGTGATACATCTTGCCAAGCATTAGCGTCAATATGTAGGTGAATAATTGTCTCATGCTTACTTCATCGAAATAATTAGAACCATAGTTATATGTGTTTTGTAGTATGTAAAAGATTGTTTATCAACTTCGAACTGACAGAAATAAAACCGTTAATCCTAATGTGAGGGGATTCTCTGGGTGGGTGGGGTTTCTTCTTGAAGATAGCTTGACAAGAAAGAGCTTGACAAGAAACTTTCAAAGCCAGAGCTGCTGAACCCTAAACCCAAAACCCTCAAGACAGAAATGAATAGAAATTGCTTGCCTTTGTTTGTAACACCAGCCGCGGCAAAGCAGTTGGGTTCAATAACAGAGCAAGTGTATCGATAAACCAATTTTTGCAAAACCTTCACAGCCCCCAAATTTGGCTTTTTGGTTTTTTCCAGACCCACTCCAAGCCACCAAATTTGTTCATGTTGCCTTTTCCAGACCCCTTCCTTGCCCCCAAATTTGGCTTTGGCCTTTTCCAAGCCTCCGAATTTGGCTCTTTGGGTTTTTCCAGACCTCCTCCCTTGACCCCGCAGCCCCCACCCAGCCCCAGCCCCAGCCCAGCCCAGCCCCCTTCGCCCCAGGTTCAGGTCGGAGTTGGAGCCACCGCCCCCAGCAAATTCAAAATGTGGTTTCAGTCGGAAAACTTTCGGTCAAAACTTTCGGTCAAAATGTTTCGGCCAAAGCGTTTCGGTCAAAGCTTTCGGTCAAAACGTTTTTGGCATCCAAACCCTTAGCAGTTTCTATAAACCCTCAGTATATATACCTATGTATATTTAAACCCTATTGACTTCGTGGCCAACTGATCAAAACTCGTGACCAACTGATCAAAACTCGTGGCCAACTGATCAAAACTCGTGGCCAACAATAACCTGTCGCCTGTGGTCGAACTCATATGGAAAGATTATTATCCACGAGTACGTGGTCGACGAGGAAACCATCTAGATGAAGAAAGTTCGCTGTTTTCTATTGCCCTGCCTTTCTTTCCATATTTCAAGGCGATAGATTCCGAAGATTTTGATTCGGGCTTGAAGGCAACGATAATCCCAGATCGAGCAAAGACAGAAAGAGAGAGAGATAGATAGAGAAAGAGAGAGAAGTAAGATATAGGAGAAATAATCGAAGGCTACCAAACTCGCACGCACCCACGCAACGCGCATGCAACCAACGAGAACACCCACACAGAAATAGAATTAATATCTTATAAATTTTACGAAATCAAACTTCTATTTTTGGGTCTTAGGATCTTATCCTCTTAAGCATTATTCTATCTATAAATTTTAGAGACTAAGATTCTGAGATCTCTTATTCCTTATCTTAGGGAGAAGATCGAGATCCCGATCGGAGGTGCTGTTACCATGACAGGACACAGCTGTTCTCACCATGACAAGACTTCTGCCCACCACGACAAGGCAAGCATACGATTTACGTTGACAAGACCGCAGTTCTGCACCGTGACAGGAAATCAGACCAGCACCTGACAAGGACTGCACTATGACAGGAATCCAGACCAGAGCTTTCGGATCATGCAATAGCTCCGACTCTCGCTCCCAATCCCAATCCAAAGCCTCAGAGACAAGGCAAGATTACGAGCACATGCCGTGAATCTGCAGAGGCAGTGCTCAGACGGCCCTATCCGATCCTGTGCTTTTTGCTCACCTGTTCGCGTGCCCCAACGCCATGGACGACAAGACGCAGTTCTCTTGCCAAGCACTTCGGCAAGACGCACAGCTGAAGCGGACAGGACTTTTGCCAGCATTCTGCCAAGAACCTGCCCTTTCTGGCTTCGGCCGACAGCCTCGCAATTCGTCTCGTACTCAAACTCGAAGGCGATTTTCAAGGTTTCTAGCTGCCGAAAACCTCAAAAATGCACTTTTTGCCCCCCTCGTTCTTAGGACGGAGCCGACCCGATCACTTTCAAGCGGGAATCGTGTTTTTAGGGTTGTTAGCTGCCGAAAACATCAAAAAAACGGTTACTCTTACGCGCCTTAGTCGTTGCATTTCGCGTTTCTGATGCTTCCCCATCTGCACACACGCAACGACTGGGTTCGCAGCAAAGGCCTTGCATTGTCCGTTCCCGCAAGAGCACCCCCCCCGCACACCGTCCCCCAAGAGTGAAGAACTTATGTAAAAGCCCGCGTGCTGCTGTTCGTGTTTTGCAGCCTTCTGCAAGTGCACACCTCCACGGACCGGTGAAGAACTGACCCTGAGAGGCTTGAGCCAAACTTTGAGCCGAATTTAGAATAATTAGGATTTCGGCAAACCTCCAAACCCCGGCCCGTATGCACTGGGGGGTAAAGCAGCCGCTTCCCCTCCCCAGCTTCGCTCTCAATGTGGTCTCCTCTGACAGAACACGAGCACACAGGGTTTAGACGTTTGCCGAAAATTAGTCTTTCTTTTTTTTCAGTGCATCTTTCTGTTAAACCTACTGCTAGTACCGCTGGAATTGCAAACAGCAGCTGCACTTTGGCTGAAGCATCTAGTTTACAA